TATACTCTTATTATAATTTTATGAGGTAAGAACTATTATTACAATGTAGTGGTTGGAAAAAGGGAGACACAGAGAGGTTAAGTAACTTACCTAAGGCCACACAGCCAGTGAATGGCAGGGCCAGTTTCTGAACACAGGCAAACTGACACCAGAGTCTGTGTTCTTTGCAATACTATGTTGTCTTTTATATGATAATCTAATAATATATATTTTTTAGGTTTGGGAGCAAGCATTATAAAATATTGTAATAGTTTCTATGAAATTCTCAGAATATTGGGAATCATTCAGAATCATTTATGTGAAATCTTGACTATAGACAGAAGAGAATAAATGGCTTCATGAAATCTCTACAAACTATACTGTTTCATGCCTATAATATCTGGTTGTAATAAACTAAATGAAGCAAGATTATTTTTTTGTTACTGATCAAGATAGTTGGGTGCAAGGGATGGCTGAGGGTTAGAAATGTATCAACATTTATTTTTACGGGCTAGTATTTGCCCGAAAGCATTATAACAAGTTCAGGCAATTGTTCATTCATGAAGTAAATGCCAGAATTTATGAGCAAATAAATGATACTCCATTTTGGCTATATATATATATTTTTTTTCCTTTTTGTCTTTTTTTACTGACTGGTAATGGGATCGCAACCCTCGGTGTTGTGCCCGTACCGCGCTCAGCCAGTGAGTGGGAACTGGTCTCCACATGGGATCCGAACCCTCGGCGGGAGCGCCGCCGTGCTCCCAAGCGGTGCACTCTCCAGTGCACCACCAGGCCAGCCCCATTTTGGCTATATTAAGTGTCTTTATTTCATGACTCTTTTGTCTTGAAACCTCAGAAACTGATCTTTAAGCAAGCTTAGGAGACTGAGCTTCAGTCCCTGATAAATAGGCAGGTTGCCAGCCTTTGTTGATTTGTACTGTTCTGCAAAAGAGGGGAAAAAATAACAAGTGGTTGTGGGCATTATTAAAGCTATTGGCCATCTGCAAATGACTGAGTGCAAGTATTTGAAGCATTTCCTAGCTTTTGTTCCTTAAGAACATCATGCATATCATAATTCAGCACATATTTTGAGAAGAATAACCTTTGCTACAGAAAGGATCAGAGGCAAAATATATCTGAAAGCTTTCTGATTACACAGAGATGAGAGAAGTTTCTTTACTCCATTTATTCACTCTATATTGATGTGTAAATTATTGGACAATAACGTATTTCCCTTTTCTCTATATCACTTTCCTAGCCTGAAGGCTAATGATATCATTGACTCGTATAGGAAGCACACCTGGAAATGAANAAGCTTCCTGATTACACAGAGATGAGAGAAGTTTCTTGACTCCATTTATTCACTCTATATTGATGTGTAAATTATTGGACAATAACGTATTTCCCTTTTCTCTATATCACTTTCCTAGCCTGAAGGCTAATGATATCATTGACTCGTATAGGAAGCACACCTGGAAATGAAAACCAACTCTAATGTTATCCTCTAATCCCTTCTTTCCAGTATCAAGTAATAATTTTATGTACTGGATCAACAGTACTAATTCATATAAGTGACTAGGGTGCTGTTTAAGAGTAACAGTTAAAATACCTCCTTTGCAAACATTCTAGTTCTATGGTCCTTAACTAGAAGATTGAAGTTTCTAGAGGCACTTCTGCAAACTGAACAGGACATAAGGAAACCAGACCTCTACCATAATTTGGACTTTTTAGAGGGGCAAAGGAACAGGAAAATATTAGAAAACTAAGCACTGAACCAAACTGACTTCATTTTTTATACTTGGATTAGTTCCTACAATTGGAAACCAATTGTAGATCTGAATTTTGGATCTAATTGTGCCCTTTAATTTGAAATATAAGATAGAAATCTGTTCAGAATTGAACATGTGTGTGAGTTTTTGTTTTTGTTTTTGTCACACTCTGAATCATTCAGTTTCCAGGCTTGGGGAAAAAAATTTTTGGAGAAGAATCCAATGAGTTTACCAATGATTTGGGTAAGTGTAAGAATCTTAATGTGCTTTTGTAACTTAATTACCATATGGTATTCCAATCTCCAATTTACACCATGAAATAAATGGATGTTCGGAAGCCTTTCAGTGTAAACAACATAATATATTTTAATGTTAAGCTTCATTCAATCTCTGCCTCAGAATATCATGCCATTTAAGTTACAGAGATAGAGAGATGTGATATCTTAGAATAATTTAGCAAGTTTATGTACCATTTTAGATATAAATCTATAGCATTTAAATGATTCTGACTTAACCTTTGGGAAAACTGCATGGCCCTTTGGGAATCTAATGGAACTTACAGATGTTCCCAGAAAGGTGCACATCTACACAGTTGTGCAGACAATTTCAGGTCTTAGGTTTAAACCCATTCATGAACCCCTGGGGAGTCCATGGACCCTTGGCTGAGAGAGTAGAGGAGGCCTTGTCCCTGAAATACCATGTGACGTTGAGCAAATCACCTCATCATTTCTCCGGGTTTCAGAACCAAAGGGAGTTGGTTAACTAAGGGTTCCTTTCAGTACCAAGTTTTAAGTCTCACTTAGTTTCTCTACTTAGTTTCCTGTGGGCCAAATTCTCCTTTGGCGGACTTCCATGTCCCTTTGTGGTATAGAGGGAAATATCACAATCTCTGATTCTTTTCAGAGAAACAATTTTTTTTTAGTTTGTTTGGATTTTTTTTGGTTGTTCGTTTAATGGCAGAAAACTAAAATAGTGAATTTAAAACACTGATCATGTGACAAATAGTTACGTATCTGGAAGCACATTTACAAAGGAGAAAAATGAGTTTCTGGATTAACTCTGGAATTTTTAGTCTCCTTCATTAACTGTGTATTAAGATGAAGTTAGTTCTAGGACACTCAGTAAGAAGAGAGAAATCTCATTTAAACTACTGAAGATTAAAAATAACTTGTGATTAACTCATAAGAAATCCTACATTCAAAATCCTACGTTTGATTACTTCATAAACACTTATTTTAATACTTTATTATCCTAAAATTATAGGGACAAAAAGGCATTCCACTTCCATTTTCCTGTTTGTTGGAAGGACAGAGAAATGTGGAGAGGGGCAGAGGATGACGTGAGTGCAGGCAGGACCAGATCCCAGGAAGGAGTCTGGGTTTCCTTCTAAGTGTGGTGGGAATTCAGTGGCAAATTCTAAGTGAAGGAGTGATAGGATTTGTTTTGTTTCCTTGAGCAATCCCATGACTTTTACTGAGCCCAAAGTAGGTGCTCAGTAAGTGGCAGTATTTAGCATTATTATTTCCCAACTTTAACAGTCGAATTTAATTTGAATTCAACTTAACTAAATTTAATTAAATATCTCTTGATTCAGAGTCATTATTGTGATAGATTCATACTGTGCTTCCCAAACTTTACTGATCATCTAATCACCTCAGGATTTTGTTAAAAATTCAGTAAAATTCAATGTGTTTTGGCTGGGATGGGGCCTGAGGTTCTGAATTTCTAACAACTCCCCGGTGATACAGGTGCTGCTGGTCCTTGGAAAAGATTGGGTAGCTAGGAGTACTTGTCTACATACCTAAAAAGCCCCAAAGTGCCATGTTTTCTTAATTTTTTTTTTAACAGTTTTTTGTTTTCTCCATTGCCATCACTTCTTTTTGCTACTAATTTGCCTATTTTTACCAGCCTCTTCCCTCAGTTCTGTTAGGGGCTGGAAACCACATTAACCAAGGGCCTAAGAAGCATATTTAAAGTGGTGGTAAAGCACCTGAACTTGGTATCTTCTGGTTGAATTTGGAGAAGCAGCTTTGCTTATAATCCTGATTCTCAGTGTGTTTCACAGAGGAGAGCTGTATGTATGTCATTTAGAGTCATCCAATTTTACTACATTTAAAGATTAGTATACTTCATCTTATATTATTTAGCATAAGCAATTTTTAGTTAACAGTCGTATTACAGAAGGAGATAGAAGCACATCAGTGTAGAACTTCCATTCTTTTCAATAACATATTCAGACATGAACAGAATGACCTATGTGTGTTAAAAGGCAAAAAACAAAAATAAGATTAATTATCAAGGATTCAAAGATTTTTTTTATTTTTTCCAGATTTATTGAGGTATAATTGACAAATACAATTGTGTGTACATACAATATGATATTTTGATATATGTATACATTGTGAAATGATTTCCACAATAAAGCTAATAAACATATCCATCACCTCACATAGTTTTTTGGTTTTTGTTTTTTGGGTTTTTTGTTTTGTTTTTTTAGTGATACTCACATCAGGAGAATTACTATATTATTACACAATGTAATCATTTTT